CGGGTGTGGTAGGAAATAGTACATTGAAATAATAAAGTAACTAGAGGTGGGCCTGAAACCCACTTTGTTTAGCGTATCATGTTAAATATGTCACTCTTCTTCCCTGTCAAGTGTAATAATAATGAAATGAGTTAGCAGTGCTGGCAGTAGAAGGAGTAAGGTGCTTGACAAGCCTTGGGGGACTGTGTTATACCAAACGTTCTTTTCTCAATTGTGTGTGATCTGAGCAAGCTCTTTGAGGGACTCGCAGTTCATTCAATCATTTAACAAGAGTTTACTGATTGTCTACTAAGTAGGTATTGTGTTGGTGAGAACTGCAGAATTCTCAGCGTGTAGCTACTCTGTCCAGACCCCTGCAGTGAGAGACTTGACCAAAGTGCAGCGTGGCTCCCAGCCGTCCAGAAGGCCGTGTCTCTGGGATGAGCCCACCCCCTCATCACATGCAGCGTTTGCAGGGAAAATGGAGGGGGTTTGCCCTGAAAGTTGGGGCTGCCAAATAAAGCAAGTCTGTACCAGCATTCGCATTCGATGAGTTAGTCTACACTTGCTGATTCAAAGGAAAATTCAGCCAGACCTGTTTGAATAGCACCTTTTAAGTCATCAGGGAGCTGAAGAAGGGGGTTTGGGCTGCCTGGTTAAGTTTCTCCTCCAGATAATTTGCAGCTGGTAGTCTGAAGAAAGGAAGAAGGGCTGTGCCCCCTAATCGCTGGCCGCCTTGTGAGTTAGTCATTCTCTGAAAGCGGGCTGTTAAGGAAAAGGTGGTATTTAGCAAAGTAGATGAGATCATTATTTGGTGAGACAAAATTTACTTAGATGATTCCTCATGAACACAGTAAGAAGTGAAGCAGGCCAAGCTTTAATTTTCACCCTCAGGGCAGCTGCCCCCACACACGCTCTCCTTGAAGACATCTGCAGAAACAGGGCAAGCGCTGCTCTTCAGACCGAGTTTCTGTCTTAAAGTTAAGGGGCAGCTGCTTCTATTTGGAAGAAGATAAGAAGCGAATAAATTTCAAATCATGTGCTGTAAAACCCCTTTGAATCTCAACAATTCCAACAGCACGAGACACTGAATGTTTTTTTCTTTCCTACAGATCCCTATAACAATGGCTCAGTTATTTCAAAAAAGCGTACATAAATCACGTATTATTTGTTAAGATGGTGTTACATACTGAGATGTGAAATAATGGCATGGGACATCTTTTGCCTTATGAAGTGGACATTGTGTGGGACCAGCCATCCAATTATATATGTTAGTAATTGAGAGTGATAACCACTGTAACAAAAGTATGAGAAAACTCACGTGGGACCACTCACCCAGGGTCGAGCGGGAAGACACTGGCTTTACAGAATGCAGGGCAACAAGGTGAACTGGAACAAGCCCCTTATTAGCGAGGAGGACCAAGGTAGAGCATATGGAGACAAGAAGCTGTATGAGAAAAGACCTGGAAGGATGGAAGGACGTTGCTCATTAAAAACAACAGCAGCAACAAAAACACTCAAAACCAGCTATCTGAGACAAGCAAAGGAGAACAATGTCATGACTGTTTCTATTGTATCATGACGAAGGACTTAAAGAGTTGAATTTAATTCTCTGCTCTTCATAAGATGCAGAATAAAGAGAGAAGAAAAATTCCTTTACTGAAGATGGAGAGGGATATAGAAAAGCAGTGTATTCTACTTTTAGGAACACA